CCGACCTATTTTGGGTCCGAGTTAATCATAACATAAAATTTTTGAGTCAAATTCCAATAAAATTTTAAGGCATTGTCCAAATATTGACACGATAGTCACAAACGAATATAACCTTTAAAAAAAAAAACACTTGAACTGCCCGCGCACTAGTCATCCGGGCGCGGCCCGACACTCCCCTTGGATCTATATAAATAGTTCTGATTAGGGTTTTAATCGCATATAGCATGTTCGTAATCTCCAGCATTGAAGCAGGCGATTCTTCCTTCCCTTGTGTTACTGAATCCCTTCGTCCTCGTTTCCACAATCTGTACCAGACCCCACAAAACAGCCAGCCATGCGAGCCCTATCCTCATATCGTCCTCTTCAATCGACGTCGACAGCTGCCGCTAGTCTTCCGTCTTTGTCTTCGTAGTCGTTCACTAACATTCCATTTTGAACCTCAAGGAGACGCCGCCGCAAGCCCTTAATCGTCAACGCCACTCCTCTTCTTTGTTGTTCTTCTTCTTCGCTGACGAGTCAAGCAGCTACAGTGACTCCTTCCACGACGCGAGAAAGTCCGTTGGCCTTTATACGAAAGACTCATAAGAGGTGAGTTATGCAGTTGGAATTATTAAATTCGTTGCCTAGCGGATGATTGAATACAAAAGGTTTAGATTATTTATTTTTGTTATTATCATATTTTTTAATTAGATGGAAAAATATGATTACTAATTACCTATATTAGTTATGCCTGAAGTTTTCACATAAAGATCATCTTATTTAGATTTATCTTAAAATTATTTAATCTTGGCTTAGTTTTGATGGCATCTTGGATTTGGGGAATAATTAATGCTACTGATTTCTTTTTCATATTTCTATGTATTTTAGCGTAAATACTTATTGTAGTTCAATACACATTAGTGTGTTACTTGTGCGAATCTTTGTTATTTAGGGCTTTCTAGTTTGTTCTAGTCTTGTGTGCAGTTATTAGGGTCTCGAAAGATCCGTTGTTTTGAGTTGAGATTGGTAGCTTGAGGGGAATTATATTTTTCAGTTGTTTTAGATTTACTTCTATGTTTAATAGATTTCCAATCATGCCTGTCATATTTGTAGAAAATTTAATATTCATATTAATATCCTATATGATGTGTAGTTAGGTTTATCTTATTTATTGCTTCACAAATCCAAATATTTTGAAATGATTCATATGATATCATAAATTGTTTTGCATATGCATTGACTTAGTTAATGCGGAATAGATTTTGCTCACACCTCACATATAATTTTGTTGATATAATAAATTGTGTTAATTTTGTTCATTAATACTTTGGTATATCACATTGTTCTTAACATAACATGGATATAACTTGTAGTCATATGATTGATGGATGTGAAATATTGATGGTACCTATTTATGGATATAAATGGTTACCTGGGTTGACATATCTATAGTGTGATGGCTCTCTTGGCGGTTATTGGACTCATTAGGTTGTGAAAATCTTTTCCCTATTTAGGGTATCACACATAACCGACCATGCATAACACATATAATAACAAATGACTAATTTGTCATTTTTAGCTATATATATAGTATGTATTCAACTAGGTGATTTGGCACTTAAATGTAGTGGTTGTCATTTTACACATGAATTCTTATGAACTTTACTACATTGTAAGTATCATTGAACTGTTTTCATATTTGATAATCTTTTCTTGTAAGTTATACTTTTTTGATTCACTATTTGTTATTATGAAATAATGTATTTTGTTTCAATTTCCTTTGTCATTGATCATACTGCATGCTAATGCCTTGCGTGACTAGCTGAATGAGTGTATGAATAGAATGTGCCTTGGGGTCAATTAATGCATAGGTTTTCTTTGATATAGATTGTTTACTATAGTCTAAAGGTTTTCTCTTGAGTAGATCTAAAACTGAATATATGGAGTGTAAGTTTAGTAGTAATAGACCTAGTGTGAGGATTGTGACTTTGGGCGATCAAGACATTAATAAGAGTACACATTTTAGCTATCTTGGATATGTTGTTCAAAGTGATGGTGAAGTAGATGGGGATATTATCAGCAGAATTCTAATTGGATGGTTGAAGTGGAGGAATGTATCGGGCTTGTTGTGTGATAGAAAGTCCCTCTCAAACTTAAGGGAAAATTCTATAAGATGGTGAGGCTTGCAATGCTTTATGGTGTTGAATGTTGGCCATTAAAAGAGAAGCATAATACTAAGTTATGTGTTGCAGAGATGAGGATGCTTAGGTGGATGAGTGGCTTTACCCTTAGAGATAGGATATGAAATGAGCATATACGTGAAAAGGTTGGAGTAGCTCCAGTGGAAGATAGGATTAGAGGAAGTCGCCTTAGATGGTTTGGTCACATAAAATGACGGCCCTTCGATGACCGGTTAGAAAAGTAGCGGTATTATATTTGACTTATGTTAAGAAAGATATAGGTATATCTAGAAAGACTTGGTTAAAAAATATTAGAAATGATATTTCTTTATTAGATTTAAACGAGAATTTGACTTTTAACAGGACACTAGAGAACAAGGATTCATGTAGCCGACCACACGTAGTGGGACAAAAGCTTGATATTGTTGTTGTTGTTATATATTTATTGTAAACCTTAGGATCCAAATTAGGAGTCGGTAAGGTAGGATTATTAGAATGATGTTTAATGTAGTTGGTGAGGAAGAGGAGGCAATATGAGAGCCAACTACGAACAATATGTTCTTTTGTGCGTGTTTGTAAACATAAATGTTGTTATAATCATAGTCTGCCTAAAAGAATGTGCCTTGTCCATGAGAGAGACATTATAGTATATGTGATCTTCATGACTGCCTAGTGTAATGGGTACTAAGCAAATATTAGTTACAAATGAATATGCATGATTGTCCCAATTAACATGGAATGACTCAGGTTCGGGCTCGTGTTTAATTTTAACTCGTGTCTCTTGTGAGTGCACGAATAAAGATGGAATTCATCGTACTATTACCACCAATGATAATATAAACTTCTTCTCAACACAAGTGACATACATATAAAAAATATTCATGTCTATAATCCCCATAAACATGTTTTGCAAAAGATAAACATCTCATAACAGTCAAAAGAGAAGGTATCAGTAACAGTAAAGTCTTCATCAAATAAAAGATGTATCATCTCTAACTTTTTTAAAAAAATTAATTAGTTTCGATTTCTTTCGAAAATAAAATATGTGCCTTACATTAATTTTGCACATGACCTTTTCATGTCATTTAAACGGATAGTTTCCTTAGTATTCTATGTAGGCGTCTCAATAGAAGTCTTAAGGTGAGAAGTAATATGTAAGGATTTATCAATAAACCCTCTAGGTAGAAATGGAAAGACTCTTAGTTTTGAAACTAATAGAAAAGTTCTTTTAAGGTTTTTAAATTAACCATGCATTGTGAAAAGCATCTTCGAAGGTTTGAGGATTTCATAAGAGAATCTAACCGTTCAACTTCTTTCCTAATTTAAGGTGAAGGAAATCACAAAATTATTAGTTGCCAATCCTGTCAATATAGTTTGTTCTAGTTAACAAATATTCAAATATGTTTAAATATTCAATGACTTGCATGTTCTTTGTGTTAAATTTAAAGGTTGGATTGCATTTTTTTATCATGACGCCTAGGATAATATTTTGATTTTTGGCATCTCATTTTGTATTTTTCTTTGTGTTAATGTTTAAGTTGGCATGAATTTTTTTTATCATGATGTCTAGTATGGTATTTTGATTTAGCATCGTATTTATTAATATCCATACTAATGCACAATTCTTCTATTTCTTTGTTCCTTAGCAATAAATCTGTTCTTGTAGATTTTTGTATGTTCAATTATTTTTATTTTAGCAAAGTTAGCTCTTTAGTAATCCATATAATATCAGTTAAATTTTTTTTCATTTGAGTTATTGTATTTAGAAATTTGTTGGGCTCATTATGACGAAAGTGAGGGCTTTAATTTATATATTGTTTTATGGGTTATTATAAGCTCTAATTTCATTTCTAGGTGGTGTCTTTTGACATTTTCCTAAAGTTTTTTTTTTTTGTTCTCTGTTCTGTGAGGTAAGTAAGTTTAATTGTTTGTAACAGATGGGGTCCTGAGTCCTATGCTTTAAAATATGTTATTCATTCTTTATGCTGCCATTATTTAGTGCAGCAACTCATTGATAGTTTTTAAGTCTCCCAAGTATTTTTTAAAATTTCATTTCCACATTAATCCTTATTTCTAAGTCTGCAATAGTTTGATTTAAGTCCTCACATTGATCTAATAGAACCTATTTTAAGTTATGATTCAAGAGATATAAAATGAAGTGAAAGTGCTTTTTGCATTAAAAGATGATGCAAAGGGTGAAATTTTTTTTAGTCTTTGAGCACTGATTTAATAACCTATTTCAACAAACACGGATAAACACCTACGCTAATGAATCTAAAGGAAACATCAAGACACAAGAAATCAAGTTTTTATGTGTTTAAACCACAAACAACAATCGACAAGGTTAATTTTGCAAGTGTAAGACACCCCTCCCAAGCAGGAACTCTCAAGTAAAAACAATAGGATTTCAGATAGGCTTTGCTTGTTTGCTAAGTTGGACTGTGTAGTGATGACCACAGGGTAAGATTTAAATAACAAAGGCCACAGGGTTAGTTGATGAAGGAAACCTTTATAAATCACATCTCTCTCTCTCTCTCTCTCTCTCTCTCTCAAGATACCAGAAAGATGCAAGATCAATAATCTCATGAACTCCAGCCCAACTTAGGGTTTCTCTCTGAATTTTTTGTTCTGTTTTCTGTTTTAATCCACAAAGAAAGGTTGAAAAGATATTAGGGCAGCGAAGATGAGAATTTATCAACATAAATTTTTGCTTATTGTTTGTAATGACCATATATTCTATTGTATCTCTGTTCTTTGAGCTTTCTCTTTCTTGTATTTGTGTGTTATTTTATTTATTTTGCTATTGTGATTTGTTTTTTAATTCGGTGGGGTTGCGGGAGTTTGCTGTGATGATAACTTATGAATTTGAGAGCATTCATTTGCTCAAAGAAAAGGGAAAATAATAATTCCTGTGCGGTTAGCTGAGCAAAGGTTCCCGTATTTTCTCCCTCTACGGTTTAAAGAGTTCCTTGACTTTTTTGTCAAATTTTTTTGAGGCATTTTTCATTTTTATTATTTGCAACTTGATGAGAATATTGTGAATATCTTGTGTTTACTTTAAATAACATTTGTTTTAAATATCAGACCTCTAATAAAAGCTATGATTATAACTTTTTAATGCAACAAAAGCACAAGATCTGTTTAATTAATATCATAATTTTTCTAACTGTTAATAGTTCTAATAATTTTAAAGGCAGTTTGTTTGCAAATAGGATAACAGTATTTGGATTTTTTGTAATCCTATTGATGCTGTTATATAATTTTTTTGCTGCTACTACATGTAATTTATGTTAGTTTTTCAAAGATATTAGAAATCCAGCTAAAAACAACAAGGGACCACAGCAAAGTAGATATTAACTTATCTCACTAATATTTTGAGAATAATTCTGAAACTTAGAAGTGTCAGAAGCATTGTGTTGCATTGACATCTTATTAATGCTTCATTTGTTGCAATTTTACTTATTTTTTATTATAATATATGAAATTAAATCATTATATTCCCATATAAAATTATGAGCTGCAACATTAATCAGTTCGTATGCTCATGGAAGTAGAAAAAATGAGATGCTGTCTTAAATGAAGCCCGATAACAAAATGTAATTATAAATAAAATTTTATTAAAGTTAATCATGATCAAGCAGCATGTAAACCTATCTCATTACCTCACATCTGTAGAACAGCAAACGTTTAGTCTTTGTGGACATAAACCAAATCTCCATAAAACACGATATTATCATCACAAAAATATTTCATTGCTCCACTTTTCTGGTGGAATGGTGATGTACCGGCTAATTTGATTGGGAGGGAATCAGGAAGTTTCCTAATCGAGAGGGAGCTGTTTAGGAATGTTCTTAATCAAAGGGGAATTATTTAAGAATGTTTAAATTATAATTAGGAAGGAATTATTTAAGCAAGAGATCCAATTTGAATTGAAAATTTAAGAGGGAATTATTTAGGGAAGATGATGAGATATTAAGGGCGGGGGGGGTTGTTTAGAAAAGTTTTAATTACAATTGGGAGGGAATTAATTAGGGAAATAAATCTAATTTGAATTCAAATATGAGAGAGAGTTATTTAGGGAAAGGGGGTTGATTTGAGAGGGAATTATGGGAGCCTATTTAAAGCTAACAATAGGGTGATTTAGGAGGATGTTTTGGAGTTTGCTGAATTTAGATTGATTCTTAGGTTATTTGGGCTCTAACAGGCAGCTAGGGATTTGGGAGAGCCCACTATTCCTCCCCAATTGAAGTTCCAATACTCTTTATAGTTCTTTCAATAAAAATTATTTTTGGGTGTTCTTCTCAAATTTTCGCGTTTCATTTGCCGATTTTTGTGAAAAGTGCATCCACTTCCTATCAAATTGGTATCAGAGCACTTTTTTGGGACCTATGGTGCAAAGAAAGTTAATGCCTTGGAAGAGCGTCTTAAAGGAAAAGTTGGCTAACTCAAATCAACATTTGAGGATAGAATGACATCAATGGAGGAAAAGTATTCCAACCTAGAAGGAATGATAAAGAAACTTTTGGAGTTTCACACCCAACAGACAATATCAGAGGCGAGAGCACCGTTGATTGGACTGGAAAGTGGGGGAAACCCTAATGTAGGGACGATGAGGGAGGATCGGGAGGTAGAATTTTTGGGTGAAGAAGAGGAGATGCCATCTTTGGGTGAAGCGAGGGATTCATGTCATGATTATTCGACAAGTTTTACGCTGGTTGTCGACTACCTGACGTAACTCTCAACTTTTCTTATCTAGGGACTTGGGACTGACAATAACATTGTTAAAATGGAGGAATGCATTGGGCTTGTTATGTGATAGAAAAGACCCTCTCTAACTTAAGGGAAAATTCTATAAGATGATAGTGAGAGCTACAATGATTTATGGTGCAGAATGTTGACCATTAAAAGAGAAACATAATATTAAGTTAAGTGTTGCAGAGATGAAGATGCTCAGGTGGATGAGTGGCTTTACTTTAAAGACATGATACAAAATGAGATATACGTGAAAGATTGGAGTAGCTATAGTTGAAGAAAAGATTAGAGAGAGTCGCCTTAGATGGTTTGGTCACATAAAACGACGGCCTTCTGATGACTCGGTTAGGAAAGTAGATGCATTAGATTTGACTTATGTTAACAAAGATAGAGGTAAACCTAAAAACACTTGGTTAGAAAATATTAGAAATAACTTTTCTTTATTAGATTTAGATGAGAATTTGACCCTTAACAAGACACAATGGAGAAAAAAGATTCATGTAGCCGGCCCCACACAGTGGGATAAAGGCTTGTTGTTGTTGTTGTTGTTGTTGTGTTGTAGTGATGCTTCAAATTAGGCCTTAGATTGTCTTTTGATGTAAAATGATAAGTCATAGCTTTGCCTTTAGGCGGTTCAAGATACAAATAGAAGAATTTTATTGATGATGGATTTGAGTTGGCAGGAATTATGTTTACTTTGAAGATTTGGAAGCATTATCTTTATGAGATATTAAGTTTAATATTTATCTTTGATCGTAAGAGTTTATAAAATATCTTCACTTAAAAAGAGATGAATTTTGCAAAGAGGTGATTGCTTGAGTTGATAAAGGAATATAATTTACAAATTTTGCTATCATCAAAGCAAAGATATTAATTGATGCAAATGGTTTAAACATGAAGTCTCTTGTTTGTGCAGGTTTGATGATTTATCATGAACAACAATTATTGCATGAAATGAAATAATTTTTGCATGAGATAGTGCCACAAAGAGATAAGCCTATTACGACTAGGATGATAATTCAACCAGTGATTTTAGATTGGATTCATAAACCTCAATGGAATGATATGAATTGACACAACTTAGTGATTAAGTTCAAGATGTATTGAAGCTTGAGATATAACTGATTTTGCATGTGCGTTGAGGTTTGGAGATCCACTTTGTACATGATTAGAGACGACTTTGATAAGAAATATTGCTAGAAGCATGAAAAAGGATATTGTTAAATTTTTACTAAACGTTTGACTTGCTAGATGGTCAAAGCTGAACGTCAAAATTCTAGTTGAACAAACTTTTCCCATTTTACATGAAAGTGAGAGGTTGCTGTGGTTTTTCTTGTTCTGCAATCTGGTTCATGTAGAGGTAAATAGACTCTGAAAGTCAACTCATATTCTTCCTATTAAATTATTAGTAGATATGTTAGCAAGGACTTAAGTGGACAACAATATTTGATGACATGACACACCAAAGTTCATCTTATTTGATAGTGATTGGAAATTCACTTAAGATCATAGATTAAGGCATGAGGCTTTGGGCACAAGACTTGATTTCTATGTAGCATTTTTCATGTAGAACATAAACCAGATTAATATCACTAGATCAAGTAAAACATACAATATTGAATCAAGCGCTACCCTTTCACAAGATCAAGATTAAGAACTCAAAATTTAATCAATGGACAAGAGACTATATCAACCATGCATGAGAAAAGAGCCTTGATTTGAAAATTAAATAAAATGTAATGATGATTAAAGTTGAAATTTAAAAATTGAAAATTTAAACTATAATTCTGTTGGGCCGGCCCAAGCTGAATTGGTCCCTCCTGGATTGGTTCACTGCTATAGGAGGTGGGCCCAAAGAGAGGGGCAAAACCTAGAGGGGGCCGGAATAGGGGTGGGGCCCACTCATTGATTGGAGTAAGGGTTTAGGAGGAAAATTCAAACTTGGGGGTTGTTTAGGGATTGATTAATTGTATTTTGCTTTAAGTAATTTCTTTTTGGGTAGGGTTTAGGGTTATCTTGAATTTGGAGGCTGAATTTGAGATCTAGGGTTTTGCTTTTGGGCTCTAGGCTTGACTAGAGATTTGGAGAGTTGAAACTTCCTCTCGAATTGAAGATTCTTGTATTGTTTGCTGTTTTTCTTGTTCTTTTACTGAATTGGAGATTTTATCTTGCTGTTTTCTCTACTAAGTTTGGAATTTCTGCATCAAACTTGTTGAATTTCTCTGAAATTCAGCAATTTCCTGCTCTGTGGCGGCTGTTTTCTATCAAATTCTTTCCCTCCATATGGAAATTAAATAAATTGTAATGATGATTAAAGCTTGAATTCAAAATTTAAAATTGTGAATCTTCAATATTTAGCTCATTCCCTACATATGGAAGGATTTCAAATTGCATCCTTCCTCGTTTAATTAGCTTTAGGTTTCATTTGGAAGCAAGCATGACCGAGCACTCCATAATAGAAGGCAATTTTGAGCGATTTCACTTCCTTTCTTTTTTTGGCTTGGCAAACATTTAATTTCCCTCATTTCATTAGGTTTTTGAATTTTGAAATTTAGAGATGATGTAATACTTTTAATATTTGTTGGAATGAATGAGAAAGAAGTTTTGATGTTAAAAAAAATAAGTACTGATATTCCAAGGTTGGAGCTCGGTGACTGACCTCTTAGTCTTCTCTTTGGTTGGAGTGCTAGGCATCTTCTTATCTCTTTTTTTTTTTTTTTTTTTTTTTTTTTTCTATTTTTGTTGATGTATGTTCCAATCTCTCATCCTCTCACACCACATATTCTTCTACATTCCTACAACTATTTGAAACCATTTCAAAAACCACCACCAAAATGGAAACCCTAATTTAGAGCAATCAGCTGAGGGTTTCTAATGACCTAAAAATAAGTGTTTCTAATGGCCTATTCTAGACTCCTTATCCTCCTTCACCCTCTAAACCTATTAAATCACACCGAACACTTCAAATTTAATCTCAACAAATCAACCTACCATCTCCTAGCCTTTACAATCCCCAACAATCTCTTAAGCTTTGTTTGGGACAGGTTTGTTATTGCTTTCTAAAATAGTTTATTCAACCATTCTTGAAATTTATATTTATTCATTCATTATTTGGTTGATTGGTGGCTTAATTATTATATTTATTTTAGAAGAATAGATTCAATTTCTTCCTCATTTGATTCATAAATTTTGATGACTAAGATTTCATATAATTAAATGACAAAATTTTAATACTTCTACATTACCTGTAATTTTAGCTAATATTTAATCATGCCTCAAAATTTGTGGAGGCTGAAAGACATGAAAGAAAAATGGCGTCTATACTTCTAAAAGGATAAGTATGTATTTACATATATCTATTTGCAGTCTTAAGACTTAAATATCATGCATATATCATACATATAATTTCATTCGAAGCAAACAATATCATTTTCAAACAGAAGAAAATCAATTTCAATTTGAAGTCTATGGCAGTTCATGAAATTGTTGACCCAATTTTTAAACATAACCATCATAGCAAAAGCGCAACATAAACATGAACAGAAAAAGGACGAGGACCACCGGGTTGCTAATATGAGACTTCATCGTTGGATAAAACTTTGATACCTCTAAGACTGCGAGCAACTTAATAAGAATTTTAGATAAAAAGTGTAAAATGGCACTTGTTTTGGGTTTTGCAAGAATCTCCCAGTTTTATAAATGTATAAATAACGATAGTTAATCATATTAATAAAAATGTTTATTTTTTAAAACTTCAAAATAATCCCACCTTGCATCCAATCCTTCCTGGTTGGAGGAGCTCATTAATAATATGCATGAGGTTACTAAACCTATTTGAGATAAATTGCTCCATATCGAAGACCATCTTTTTACCTTGCTACAGCTAGAATCTTATTTGCATAGTAGATAATTTTGAATTATTTTTATTAATCTCCACAAATCAACCTACCATCTCCAAGCCTTTACAATCCCCAACAATCTCTTAAGCTTTGTTTGGGACAGGTTTGTTATTGCTTTCTAAAATAGTTTTCTAATATAAAATTTTTAATTCAAGAAATTTTTGTACTAGGAAGTTGTTTTAAAAAGTAGTAAGAAAACTGTCCCAAACGAAGCCTTAATCTCCCCCCTTAGTCTTGTAAACTCAAACTAGTTTTCGTAGACATTTTTTTGATTTTCCTCCACTTAGAAGCCCTAAATCTTTTTGATCCCCATAAATTAATTGAGATCAAATCTCCTAACATTCCGCTTACTCTTTCCAAGTGAATTATTGTTCTAAATCTACCTCCATGCTACACAACCCTATTTTGAAAACCAAACATGGAACTCTAGAGCTAAGCCTCTCCATAAGGCTAGCTCGACCTTTCTTTTGGCCCTTCACTTGAAGTTAGGGGGTGTCAAAATGGGTTTTTGGTTCGGGTTCTGGTCCAACCTGAAGCTGAACCACCTTTAATTGACCCGACTAGAACCTGTCTCGATTAGACAAATAAGTTAGAAATCCATACTCGAACTCGACTTGCCCCAAAGTTTACCCAACCCGACCCAGTAACGCGCAAGGCAGTGAGGCGCGAGCGCTAGCGCGTGCGGGCGAAGGGGCGAGTGTGGGGGCGAATGCGGGTACGAGCTCGAGCGAGGGAGTGGGTGCGAGTGCGGGAATGTTATGGGCGAGGTGGTGACCCGAGTCGGTTTCGGGTTGATTTCGGATTTTCAAGTTGACCCGAACCTGACCTGAAATTGGAAACAAGTCATAAAATGAAACCCGAGCTGGCCCGTTTGCAAATCAGGTTGTCCCGAACTCAGAATTTTTTTGGTTTGATCAGGGTCGAGCTAAATATTGTCACCCTAAACATGAAGCAACTTTCTCTAAACACCTCAAGGATTATTCCCACTTTGAATGCACCCTTCTACAACAATTTGATGCTCGGAATCATCCCTCCTTCAAGACCACATCAATGTATTACACAAAGTTTCATATCAATTAGCACTTCCATTAAATGAGTGCATACACCTCAATTTATTTAACCATTCTTGAAACTTATATTTATTCATTCATTATTTGGTTGATTGGTGGCTTAATTATTATATTTATTTTAGAAGAATAGAGTCATTTTCTTCCACATTTGATTCATAAATTTTGATGACTAAGATTTCATATAATTAAATGACAAAATTTTAATACTTCTACATTACCTGTAATTTTAGCTATATTTATTCATGGCTCAAAATTTGTGAAGGCTGAAAGACATGAAAGAAAAATGGCGTCTATACTTCTAAAAGGATAAGTATGTATTTACAATTTTACATATATCTATTTGCAGTCTTAAGACTTAAATATCATATTAATAAAAATGTGTATTTTATTAAAACTTCAAAATAATCCGACCTACCCAAACCTTCCTGGTTTGCACTTGTAGGAGCTCATTCATATGCATGAGGTTACTAAACCTATTTGAGATAAATTGCTCCATACCGAAGACCATCTTTTTACCTTGCTACAGCTAGAATCTTATTTGCATAGTAGAGAATTATTTTTTAAGACCATTAAAAAATAACTTTAATGATGTTAGTTTCATATTTCGAGTGATTATAAGACTCTTTAATCACAACAAAGTACAAATCTTAAACATCGAGTTGTTTTTTTTATTGTAGTGGTTTGAGTTTTATCAAGAACACTAAAGTTAAGGATGTTTATACTGTAGTACTATTGGATAGATGATTTTTCTCGGATGTTGCACAAAAAGAAGGTTAAAATTTTGAAGTTTTAGGCCAAAGTGAGTAATATGTTGATGTTTGTAAGTTCTTGTTGTGTCAAAATTGCTCGGCCATCTCTTAATTAGACCTAGAGACAAGAACCATAAGAAGAGTGTGAATGCTGAAGCATACGTTATTGCTAGGAGAAATTATTACGTGCGAAGTCTGGACATAGAGTTGCATCCGGCCTCTGTGTATTTACTGAGTATTTTTGCTGAGTATTTACTGCATATTTATTAAATATACATTAAACACTCAACAAATACATAGTAAATATTCAGGAAATATATAATAAATACTCAACAAGTAATTCATAATATAAAAAATTATATTTTGATCATGTGTGAACATTTCATTGGAGTCTGGAGATAACTCTACTTCCGGACTCTACATGTAATAATTTCTCCATTACTAGGGTGGATGGAAGGCTTAGGCGTTTGATAAGGCATCTGAATTTTCACCCAAGAGAAATGGTAATAATTATGGCACTAATGAGGTGGTCGTAGTCAGTCAGGATCAGGATAGTGATGCACAATATTTGGTTTTTGTCATAGTTCACAGCTTCGCATAATGACTAATTCCTCCACAATTACGAGGGAATGTATGGATGAAATTAATCCTTTGGGTTCAATGTATGTTAAAAGAACGATCAAATTGGAGCACTGAGCTTTTGGTTATTATTCATCACCAAATTGGGCTGTGTAGCGCTGGCCATGGAGTGAGATATAAATAACAAGGGCCACAGGGTTATTTACAGAAGAAGGATTTTATGCATGGCCTTCTAGGGTTTTTCGCTCTCTCTTTCCTCATATATAGAACAATCGCAAGGACAAAAATCTCTTAAGAAATCCAGCTTGCTTAAGGTACGTTTCTGAAATTCTCCTGCTATTCTTCTTTTTTCTTTCGATAAAAGTTTAAGGTAAGGCTGCAAATGAATCGAGCCGAGTCGAGTATGTGCATGTTCCTGTTTAAGTTCATTTATTATCACCTTGTTCTACAGTTCTAGTTCGGTTCAAATTTGATTCGAGCTTTTTTGTTTGTGTTCAAGTTCGTTCATTTAAATTAACGAGTGTTCGAGTTTGGTTCATGTTTAATTAATGTTCGATTCATTTCATTCTTGTGGAGCTTTAAACAAACGAGCGTTATCGAGCTATATACGACCTCCTCTTCTAGATGTACATTAATATAACAAATGAGTCTTATCAAGTCTTCTAACAAACAATTACATATTGCATGTTTGTGAACATATTTATCGAAGTTTTTTAAACTATCAAACAAGCTCGTTCACGAACATATCTAATGAGTATTCTTAAGCTATCAAATGAGCCCGTTCATGAACACATCTAATTAACATTTTTGAGCTACCAAAGGAGTTCGTTCACGAACAAATGATCTATGATTCATCTTATGTTTGTTCAAAGAGTGGGTTGTTCGCGATTTTAGACGGATGCACAAAGGAAAAATAAATTATTAAATAATTTTAGATGGAATTAGTAAAAATAAATTATTAAATTTAACAATATTTTTTTTTTAAAACTCTAATATAGTTTTAATCTAGCTTCTTAATAAGCTTTTTCATGAACATAAAACCGGACGTCAAGTTGTTCAAGTTCGTTTATTTAGTTATCGAGTATTTATTAAAAATGTTTAAGCTCATTCATTTATCTTATCAAACAAACATGAGTAGCTCGTCGAAGGCTCGGTTCATTTGCAGCCCTATGTTAAAGATATTGGCCTGTGAAGATCATACATAACGACTATCCGACACATTGACATCTCTGTTCTTTGAGCTCTCTTTATATCTCTGTGTTTGGGTCTCTACTGTTTTATTTCTTTATTTATTTTGGTCATCGTGCTTCATCTGTATTTTGGAGGGATTGGGGGCTTTTGCCATGACGAGATCTTATGAATTTGAGAGCAAATTAATTGCTCGAAGAGATGGGAAAATAATTATTCCTATGCGGTTAGCTGAGCAAAGCTCCCATTTTCTTTCCTCTTTTGGTTTAAAGAGTTGGTAGTCATTTTTCTTTGTCATTTTTTTTCAAACAATCTTTTGGAAACATTCTCATTATTTTTTGTTATCAGCTATTTGATAGGAATATTATCTACTTCTGAAAACTTCTAGACTTTTCTTTAAATAAAGTATATTTTAAATATTAGAGGCCTACTAAGAGCTGTGTGCTCAACTGCTTGTATGACATCCAGCTGATTTAGGTATTATTTGGAACAATTTTTTTTATTGCTTCTTAAAATAAATTTTTTTTTTTACAAAAATTTTAATTTTTATACTATAAAATTGTTTTAAGAAGCAGTAAGAAAGCTATCCCAAATGATGAACATTATTTTTGAAAACAACAAAAAAGTTGTCCCAAACGAGATTATTATGTGTGGAGACCGGATGTAGAGTTACGTCCTGATTCCAATAAAAACGTGACACGTGTCCTTGTACACTGTATATAAATTTGTATAAATTATGCATATAATTTTGTAATTTGTGCATAGTATGTACAATTGTATACACAAGTATGCATGTATTTTTATTGAAGTCCGGACATATCTGAATTTTGCACGTAACAATTTCTCCTCAAACGAAGCCTTAATTTGCTTTATGATTTATGAAATAGAAACCAATTCATATGGTGGCCGAAGTTCAAAGAAAGCGAGACTATATGAAATAAAGCCCAACAATAAAAGTTAATTATATGTAAACTGCTATTAAAGTTATAATCATGATTACGTTTCATGCATGACTTTTTTATCATCTCGCATATGTGCAGCGTAGGAAACATCTCGTCTTTGTGGACTTAAAATCAAACACATTAAGCACAATATTATCAAAAAAACATATTATTGCTGCTTAAGCCAGTGACACTTTTTTCTTGAGCTTCGCCTGCTGACATTTTAGGAGTAGATAAAAATAAAAATCATCTGCATGAGCGGCCGAGGTGCTGTTTGATTGGTTAAAAAAAAGAATGTAGTGTAAAAAATATATATAATATAAAATTAATATTTTTAAATTATTTGGCTGATGCATCTTAATTTTTTTTTGTTTGGTTAAAAGTAATGAATATGATGTAAAGTTCAAAGATGGCGGTGGACGGCGATCGGCGTGCAACGGTTGTGGCTGTGGTGATTGGCGGAGGGTGGTGGCAGTGGCGGCGATGACAATGTGCAGGGTTGTTTGGCGGCGGAGGTGGCGGTCAAGCGAGCCTGCTTGTGGTGTAAATAGTTTTCGCTCAAAATTGAAAGAAATTGATTTACTTAAAAACCGAATTAAAATAATTTATATTATATTTACTTTTCTTTGCATTTCTTTTGCATCCAATCAAGCATTTGAAATTTCAAAATCCATTGCATTTGTAATCCTTTACACCATTTTGTATTTCAGCCAAACAGCCCCTTAACATAAAGTCACAATTTAGATGCATTCACTATTGCGTATGATTAAATTGTTCACAAAGGCAAAGAAAATCATTCCACAATAGCCAAGAAAGAACTATTAATTGCATGCGTAGAAAAAATGGGGGTAGTGGGTAGAGATCATTGACGATTACTATAAATCCATCCATAATCAATTATCATTTCAGTACATTTAGATTTAGATGTGATACGCCACTTTGGCATTTTGATTTTGAATAATAAATTATTTTTATATAACATGTAACTGGCACATCATGCATATAATTTCTATTAAATTTGAAAAAAAAATTGAAAAATTTAAGAATTGAATGTTATAGAAAAATAATTAATATGAGTTTTATTATATTCATTTTTAAAAGTGATGAGATGATTTTCTATTTTCTTAAATAATGTATTAGTAATTATAAAATCATAAGTTAGAGCAAAATTTAATTTGGTTCTACAACCTTTATTAGTTGATCCAAACTTATGCTCACCATGAATATTTTTATAATCTTCTACTGCTTTATTAACATGCCCATTTAAATCTCCTCTAATAAAAAATTGTTTCTTTAAGATGTATCATTTGCATTAATTCTTTTAAGTTATTTTAAAATTTTAATTTTGAATAAATATCCAAAACTACTTGAGAATAACTGAATAAGCACTTGTAATATTAATAATTTTAGCATCAACAATAATCTTTAAAATTATAATTCTATCACTAATTCTATTAATTTTTACAACATTATTTTTCAAACTTTTATCTGTAATCACACATACATTATTTCTACTATGACTCATATATGAATACCATAATTTGAATTCTAAACTATCAATATACATTGACTCCTTTTCAACCCATAAAGTTACATGAATACATAAAAATATTAATTTTCTTATTTACAGTTTGAGAATGTTACCTGAGGAATATTCAAAATATTATTTTAAAGCTTGGATTGTACCACAACATTAATTTTAGGATCAAAATTATTTTTTAATTGAATAAAATAGCACACTTCTCAATTTACTCGGTAAAATTTTTTTCAAAAAGATGTCAAAATATCCGAGATCAATGTCTCTATAACATACATAAAGTTACATAGTAAATGTTTAGTGATCATATAATTATTTATGTTTTTCCACTATGAAATTATAAGTTGAATTAGGAAAATCTCAAATTTTTTGTATTGTTAAAAATTGAAATAAATAAAATATAACATACTTCGATCTGAGTAACTTTTAGAACTGTGCCGATAGCCAAAAACAGTCAGGAGTTGCCCAAACCTAGCTTTCTCTCACTAGATTCCTCCTTTCTCTCTCTAGCTAGCTGCTTATTCGGGAAGAAATGATTCTTTTATAATTAAAAAATAATTAATATGGATGTTTTTATCTAAAAATTGGGCTTGGAGCCACGATGCTAGATCTTTCATGCTGCAACGATCCCTCTTGGAGAGCACGGTGCTGCAGCACCGCTCCCATCGTCATAACATATAATTAATTTGGGCAAAAGAGAAAGAGCTCAATGCTGCAACACCGCCTACCTTGGCGCCATGTTGCCCGTAGGTGTAAAATAATAGATTTCCAAGTCATGCACACAAATCCATTGGACATGCTCCAGAACAAACTCAGACATTCACGCATACAAATAATTTCAGACACATGCAAGAGACATTACATGCAGAAATTTTGTGGGTTACGTGCCATGAATCAGGTCAGAACAGGAAAAACGGTGCACTGATTTCGTAGGTGTTACACCTTATTAGGATGGGTGAACCATGAAAGAACTCACCTATGTGATGGAACTCACATATATCAAAAGCTTCAAATCAATAGGAGATGGTAAACTATTCTAACTCAATAATGACAATTACATCAACCTAGCTAACCCTTCCAACTTAAGAGATTATTCAATAGAGGCACTCATTACAGGCACTTTATAAAGGCACTCTCCACATGCATTTGCCATAGGCTCCCTAGAGCCCCTTCAAATATAAGAGTCCAAAGTGCAATTAATGTATTTCCTTGTGTTTGGATGAATCATATCATGTATTATTTTATTTTTATTTTAGGTATATCCTCTCTTGTAGCATTTCCAATCCTATAAAATATAGGATTGATAGTTATATTTTGGATAATGCTAGTTTCACTGTTCATAAAGAGTATTAAAACTCTATAACTCTTCTTCTGACTCACTCATCTCTCTTCTCTCTTTGTTACTTTAGCTAATCTTGTGATTAGGGTTAGGGTGACACCCATGAAGAACTTTTGGATCTAAGGTATTTTAAATATGAATATTTGTATTTTGATGTAATAAATAAGAAAATTGTAGTGTTATGCCACCTATAATATCTCAATTAATTGTGTTATTATGCGTATTATAAGCAAATTTTAATTCAGGATCCATGAATACACTTCTTATGAAGTTAAATGATAATTTTGGGCATTTACAACAGATTTGTTTATTGGGGATTTACATATATGACATCTAAAATATTATTATCCATACATTAACATGTTGACTTTACTATTTCTATCATCCAACACTATGTTAACTCCATTAATGGACTTGCAGGATCTCACCACAATTGTGTCAGTTGATTCATTCTCCCAGCGAGCTCATATGCAACTTCAAGCTACTGGGCGACGCCTTCACTTCATCCACATACTACCTAGACCTGTTGATGCCCTTATTTGGAGCTTCGCTAGACTGCGTCATCGCTGGGCCCATTAATGACTACTAGTGAGCTCATGTGGGACTTTTATCCCCCACACGACTTCTTCATTTCACCATACATTGCTTAAATGCTTCGACGCCCTCACTTCAGAGCTACTGTGTGATTTTCTCACTTCTTTGCTAACGACAACTTTATGAATTTCTATAAAAGCACAAGAAGGGGAGAGAGTGCAAACATATGGAAGGAGATGTGACGAGTCAAGAGAGAGGGACTGCGAAGGCAAATGTCAACTTGTGATCGACAAAAGGATCGATGGAATAGTGATGAAGTGAAATGAATCAACTAGTTTTTGCCTCGAGATTCGTGCCTGATCAAGCTAATTTTGTGATGATGTATCATATATATATATATATCACGCAAAGTATTCACCTTTTTAGTGTTTTTATTTATTTATTTATTCATATGACTTTCTCCACATAAAACCGCGATGATGCTCTCAGCAGGCAGTCCGCAGACTCACCAACCTTTCATACTAAAATTTCAAAATGGGGAGAAATGGGCCCCACCATTTCTGAAGTCATTCTCTCCACCAACCCCACCAACCACCAAACCATATATATCTTCAACAGTTCAACCTAATTTCTTCCTACAACTAATTTATATAATTACATAATTTTATTTTGCTATTAAATTTAAATTTCGTCAAAGCCACTTATACCAAAATCATTTGAGGCAGTTGAGTTTGGCGTCAATTTGACTTTAAAAATTAATTTACAAACCAACCAAAGTACCAAAGTCCAAATAATATGTATGTTTATCATTTAATTATGATCATACAAGTTTGGTGGACAGGCCGTCGGTTTTGCAGTGGCGAGAAGAATGTTAAATCCATTGATTTTACGGTGGTGAGATTTTATCGAAGACTGTTGTCATTGGGCGGCCACCAACCGAGATCGTCCATTCGATCTGGTGGACACTGGCTTGGTGGGTCAAATAATCAAACCTAACATTTTATTAAAATATTTTCTCTAGCGTTAGATGCAATTTGATAGGGACTCATTTGGCCCCGAAGGATGATGTCGTTCAGTAGCCACCATCCTAGACCGTCCACTCTAGTGGACATTGGCTTGGTGGGTCAAATGACCAGACCTAACATTTTATATTGATATTTTCTCTAGCGTTAGATGTAATTTGATAGGGACTTATTTCGCCCCGAATAATCTTATCTTTGGGTAGCCACCATCCTAGATCATCCACTTTAGTGGACACTTGCTTGGTAGGTCAAATGATCAGACTTATCATTTTAAGGAAAATAAAATTAAATGAGTATTTTTTGAAAATTAATTTGGCTGAAATTTCGATGTTGAATCCAACTCATTTGTTAAACCGATCAATCTGAACCTAAATTTTTTAGGCTTGCTCTGAGTCGGATTATCAAGATTTATCAATATTATTGGTCTATAGACGCAACCAACAAAAAAATAGTCATACTTCATGTCAACCTAACATATTAATAAATAATTATGTGTTGATTTTATTTAATTAATCTTCTATATTTTACTAATTGTTACTCTCACTAAAATTAAAAAGGGAAACCAAAAAGAACCTTTTTTTGCATAATAATTAAATATTAATTATTTATATAATTGACATTCTCTTATTTTTATTTGTCGTTTTAATCAAATTACGAAGAAGAGTTGTTAGGTATGCAAATATTAAAAAGATTTGAAAATTATCTCTAAAAATAATAATAATACCACGCCATAAATAAAATCAAATGCAGCGTTGCTTGGTAAATAACTTAAGTTCAACTGTGCTGGCCACAAAATATATTAAAACTTCATCACGATTCGTGCGGAGTTCACCTGATTAGCATCACAGGACCTAATTGTGAGAAATTGTTTTCAACAAACATCTACCGCTGCATAAGATCGCTGAGTAACTGTTTTAGCTACCTACCGTCCGCCGCTTTCACACCTATATATACATCCACTGACACCCTGTTTCACCAAATTGTGGATAGTGGGTGCGAGTGTTGCCCATCCCAATCACAGCAAATGGCCTTATCAACTTGGACCGCCGCCGTCGCTGCAGCGGCGATCGTCATCACGGCGGCGCTCTGGCGGCGACTTCGCTTCCGCCTCCCGCCGGGACCCCGGCCATGGCCGGTGGTTGGAAACCTCTACGACATCAAGCCAGTGCGATTCCGTTGCTTCGCGGAGTGGGCGGCGAGGTACGGTCCGATTATGTCGGTGTGGTTTGGGACGACGCTGAATGTTGTTGTATCGAGCTCGGATCTCGCGAGGGAAGTGCTCAAGGAGAAGGATCAGTTGCTGGCTGATCGTCCTCGGAGTAGATCGGCTGCTCGATTCAGCCGAGATGGGAAGGATTTGATATGGGCGGACTATGGACCTCATTATGTGAAGGTTAGAAAGGTCTGTAATCTGGAGCTGTTCTCGCCGAAGCGGCTTGAGGCGTTGCGGCCGATTAGGGAGGATGAGGTTACTGCGATGGTGGATTCTATTTACCGGGAGGCGACAAGAAAGGGTATTGATCTTTGTTCTTTGTTTCTCTTGATTTCTGCTATTTTTTTTTTCCGGTGAGGGTTTGGATTACAATTAATTTTAGATTTGAGTTTATGATTTCGTGACATTTACCTTCGTGATTTGATTATTTTAATGCGAAGAATTGGGTTTTGGCGTGTTGGAGACTTTGAGTTGGTGTAGAAGTTGAGGTGCCCACTGTCCACCAGATTAGTTGACCAGATTTTTCAAGTACAAGCAACATGCCTTGTGGTCGCTACTGTATCCTATAGTGATTTATAGGTGCATATCACATATTTTTTTAATATATTGAATATTTAAATTTTTATATTTATTTATATATCATTAGAGTATTTTATAAATTAAGAAACAAATTTAAGTATTTAATATGTAATTACTTATAATCATAATCCTACAGAATGGACCCCTTATCCAAATTAAGCCAGGATTGGTAGTTCGCTCCCGAATGTTTCAAATTAATAACGCCTCTGGATTAAATTATTAATTTTAAGTGTGGTCGATGATCATTTTGAAAAAATATGCATTTTTAATAATTTATTATTTATTATCCATTTAAAAGGATAGAATCATTTATTCATAAGCAAAGCCTGGATTAGATGTTTAGCCAACAAATTTCAAGTTAACCACGCCTCTGCATTAAATTATTCAATTTAAGGTGTGAGATTTAATGCAAAATTTTTTGTTTAATTGTAATTAAAATGTGATAAGCTTGAATGATCTAGTTGATCCACATTTGAATGTGATGTTCATCTGAATAGTAGCTAAATTATGATTTGCATGAGGTTTAGTTCTTGATTAGAGAAATAATTTATGTTTTATGATAGTGTTTTTACGTTGTGGTCAATTTTTAAAAAATAAAAGAACTGATCATTACCAAAATAATTCCATTGCCTCAGAAGAACAAATTGACGTAAATATTTTCTGAACTTGGCTACATTAAGGTTTTGTTTGGGACGACTTTCTTACTGCTTCTTAAAGCAGTTTTTTAATACAACTTTTTTAATTTTTATGCTAAAAAGATGTTTTAAAAAGCAGCAAGAAAGCCATCCCAAACAAAGCCTAAAACTAACTTTGGGTTATACTCCATGATTTAATAAATGTTGTTCCTCACAATACTAAACCAAGTAACCAACTAATACATATAAGATTGTTCTTAGCAGGCAGTAGCAGATATCAAAAAAGGGGATCTATTGTAGCTAACATGTAAAATGTTTTACTGTTTTAGGATTATTCCATTTTGTTCGAGTTTCATATAACTTTGTTTAACCGAGAAAATTATTTTCCATATTTGCCTATTTGATGGCTAGGATTTGGGTCTATATTTATTTTCGTGGATTCCAATTAATAATTGAAGGCTACTGATGTTGTTGATAATTAGGATGAATATGGTAAGTGATGTTAAGTATGTTTCAACACACTTTCTTGCTAACATTATATCTTTTTTAATCATTGCCATTTACGTTGGTTTAAAGTTGTGGCATTTGCAAGTTGAGTTTGAGTGAGTTAAGTATTGTTCGACTCGACTTATCCAGCAAATGAGTCAAATTTATTTATTAATATTTCTCTTGTTAACTTATAAAGCTGACCACAGAATGTTCATGGATATAAAGTCTAGAATTCATATAACTCATAGAATATATATGTCATCACGTGCATATATACATACATAAACATATAAAACTAACATCTTATCATCAAGCCAAACAAGACCGAAAATGACCTTAGTATTTGGCTTGCTAGATAATCAAACTTGAGCCGAACAAGATCAAACGATCTTCTTTTTTGAGAGGCCTAGTTTAAAGTTCATGTTGTAACGTCATGGAATATTTTATAACTGTTAAAGCAATTAAATTCATGGCTTGTGCTTTTCAGACAAAGTTGGACAAAGCTTGGTAGTGAGGAACCACCTTTCAGGTGTGGCTTTCAACAACATAACAAGGCTTGCATTTGGAAAACGTTTTGTGAACTCTGAGGGTGTATTGGATGACCAAGGCACTGAATTCAAAGCTATAGTGGCCAATGGCCTCAAATTTGGCGCATCTCTCTCTCTTGCTGAGTACATTGATTGGATCAGATGGATGTTTCCCCTTGATGAGGAGGCCTATACCAAGCACGGTGCTCGAAGAGATCGCCTTACCCGTGTCATTATGGAAGAGCATACACAAGCACGTGAGAAAGGTGGTGCAAGGCAGCACTTTGTAGATGCACTTCTCACACTACAAGACAAGTATGATCTCAGTGAGGATACTATTATCGGACTACTATGGGTAAGCACCATATTATTCACCATTTTATGTTAAATGCCTAATGAATGATCTACAATATCCATACCGTCTAAATCTATCTATATCTGCACCTTTATTTATATGCATAAGTTGTTTTGGAGGGTTTAATCATATTCGTCTGCACAATTAAATTTCCATGACTGCTTGGAATGCTAATTTTGGTCTGATTTCCTAGACTAATCTGCCAAAAACAAGTCATAGATGAACAGAATAATTCAAGGATTGTGTTCTTTGGCACTCTGTATTGCCTGTGACAGGGTCTCATGTCAGTGGGTGAAATTGGAAATTTGATCTTTCGTTGGTATTATATGGTAAAAGAGAACCCATTAATGATGTTATTTCTTAGAAGTTATTAGTATCAATGTTATCTTACTTAAATGATATATTTTTTAGAAAGCTCAACTGTGATTTTAATTCTTCATTTTTCATTTGTTTCCATCAGATGGACTAATGTGTGTGTGGTGGTGGGATTTAACATCTGGATACGTAGATTTTGGTAATTTGATCTTTGATTGGTAATATGTGGTAAAAGAATAACATTAACAAGGTTATTTCTTAGAAGCTTTTAATTTTAATGTTATATAGATAACAACGTTTTTCAGATAACAATATTTTTTATCAAATGCAATGCGTTTTATTTAATTTTTTTTTTACTAAAACAATCTATTATTATGTAGAAAATCAACATTGTTTTTTATCTTTCTTTTTCATTTATTTTAGCCATCAACCTAATCTTTATATGTTGGGAGATTTGACCAGCATTTAGATATCATCAGAATTTATCTTAAGATGCCACTAACCTAATTGAAGATATCATAATAAAAGAAAAACAGAAAAACATGCAAGAACATAAATCTGTATTAGTTCCTTGATGTTACATTACTATTATATCATTTTTGCCTTTACATGGTGTTGTATATATGAAGTGATAGGGGAAGACTAAGTATTTTGGCAGGTAAAGGTATGCTTTACAAGTGTATGATGATGGTTGTGTAGGTATTTCTGATCCGATGGTTGAGACTGAGAGGAAGCGAATTTGCTGCTCCCATTTTGTTCTTCTAGTGGCTCTCATCATTACCTCCCCTCAAACTGATCGGTCTTGGTTGAACTGTCAGCTTGTTGTAAAGACTGAAATCTGTTTGTAGGTAGTGATTTTGTGAAGATTTTTGCTGGTTAGTTATGAGAATTGAAGTATACCACCTTGATGGGCTGGTAGAAGATTATGCATATGTTGAAAAAATTGATTGATGATGAGTGAAATGTTTAGTTGAGTGATTGTTAGTACGGGTGCCAATTTCGGGTCACGGGTCGGGTTCGGGTCAAATCTGAAATTGACACGGCATTATTCGAGTCAACCTGAACCCGACCCGTTTCGGCGAACAGGTTGGTTTTTTGGACCATAACCTGACCCGCTTTGGGGTCCGGGTCAACCCAACACGACCCAAATGACTTGGGACGGACAAAAAATTACTAGTTTTCTGGTAAAAAAATGGGTCAATCTCCGATTTTCGGGTTAAAAGTGGGTAAAAAAATGGGTCAATCTCGGATTTCCGGGTCAAAAAAGGGTTTTCGGGCTTAAAAAACGAGGCAATTTTAGGTTACTGGGCAGCTCGAACCCAACCCGATTTTTGAAACGGGTTGATTTGCTGAACCCGAACCCGACTCATTTCGGGTCCGAGTTAACCTTAAACTGGAATTTTTGGGTCGTGTCAAATATTGACACCCTTAATTGTTAGGTATTATAAGGAATCTATGAGGTTGCAGAGAATTTTTTTAAGGATGTCATTGCCTTATCATTGTTGTATAAGGAAGTATAAGTTGTGTTTGTGAATTCGAATTCCCACAAAGGTTCTGATAGGCGGCCCTAAATGTTTCATGCAGAATTTAATGTTCAAATTTTGAATAAGCATGTAGATGGCTCAATCCTCAGTCCTACCAATGAGTATATCATTTACATTCATAAATACGTGACAAGTACCTGATTCCAGTCATAGATGAGTAGAGAGAAGTCAGCTTTCAGGATTTAAATGGCTATGCGTGTACATTGCAGGACATGATCACAGCAGGCATGGACACAACCGTGATCACAGTCGAATGGGCCATGGCAGAGCTCGTAAAGAACCCCGGCGTCCAACGCAAGCTCCAGGAAGAGCTCGACCGCGTCATCGGCACCGACCGCATCATGACTGAATCGGACTTCCCAAACCTCCCCTACCTCCAATGCGCCGTGAAGGAGTCTCTCCGCCTTCACCCTCCCACCCCTCTCATGCTCCCTCACAAAGCCACCGCAAACGTCAAAATCGGCGGCTTCGACATCCCCAAGGGCTCCAACATTCACGTCAATGTCTGGGCCTTAGCTCGCGACCCCAAGGTCTGGACGAGCCCTCTCGAGTTCCGGCCCGAGAGGTTCGAAGAAGAAGATATCGACATCAGAGGCCATGATTTCAGAGTCCTCCCGTTCGGCGCGGGACGAAGAGTCTGCCCTGGCGCCCAGCTCGGGATAAATCTGGTGCAGTCGATGCTAGGGCATCTGATTCATCACTTCGAGTGGTCGTTGCCGGAAGGGGTGAAGGCGGAGGACGTCGACATGAGGGAAAATCCTGGAATGGTTACTTTCATGCACACGCCATTGAAGGCTGTGGCAACTCCCAGGCTTCCCGCTCATCTCTACGACCGGGTGGCTGTGGATATGTGAGCAGAGGTTAGTACTGCTGGACTGCTTTCCTCCTTTCTAATGTGTTATTCTTTTGTATCATTTTGATGGAGAGGGAGATTTGTGATGAACTTTGCTGGTTATGTTCAGTTTTTAATTCTTATTTTGGAAGTGTTCAAATGAAAAAAAGGTACTATTGTTTAAGCCCGATTAAAACTTTTTTATGATCAGTTAATTACTCAATGGAACAAATTTGAACACTTTTTTGATAAATTTATAATTTTATATTTTAGTGATTAATGATCATAAATAACATCATTTACAATTTATAAACATAATCATTACAACGATTAATTGAAGCTCCATGAAATGTCCACTAAAAATTTGGTGAAATAATTATTGGCGGATATGGATGCCGTTTCAAGGCGAATTAGATCACGCCACCTTAACACTTTGTTGTGTATCGCATCTGTGTATTAGGTGATGTGACACATCCTGATTCGTCTCCGTACAGTCTATTGTCCGCATAGAATAATTTAAAAAAAATTTGATTATAAGTTTATTAATTTATGAATATGTAGTGGTCTTATTTTTTATATTAGATTAATTTTGTATATGAATAAAAGATGAATGCTTATCTTTGATTAAAATACTTCTTTTATCTAATAGTTCATTCAATTAAAATATTGTTTGAAAAGAAAATAAGTTGCTCATTAATAGATTCAATAAAATTGATTAGATTAACTAATAAGTTGTTAAATAATGCTACTTGTTAATAGGCAAGACTTGTTTGATTAGGAAATTAGTCAAACTCAAATCAAATATACATAGCCATAATTTTTAATGAACCATATTTGAACCCTATTATAAATATTCAAATTAAAATTAAGCTCAAGTTTAAAGAAGATGGAAGTTGAGAATAGATGAAAAGATAAGTGAAGTCTTTCCGCACAGCTATCATGATCATCATGCATGATGAATTGGTAAAAAACCAATACAATTAATAATATACTTGACTCCATAACATCACTTGCATGACTCATTATATCACATACATTATGACAGTGTAACCTAACAACATGATGAAAAATTATAAATAAACTATTTTAGAACATACAAGATGATATTGATGATGATGGTAGTTGTGATGCTTGCATCAAAGCAATAATACATTAGAATAGGTTGTAAGTCAACATCAAAATCAGCTCATATTAGGCAACCAATCATTAGGCTTCATTTGTGACGACTTTCTTATTATTTCTTAAAACAGCTTTCTAGTTAAAATTTTTCAATCTTTGTACTAGAAAGTCAGTTTAAGAAGCAGGAAGAAAGCCGTACAGTTTTCTTACTGCTTCTTAAATTAACTTTTTAGTACAAAAAAATTATTATTTTTCATCCCAAAAGAGGGTTACTTAATCTCAATTCCATGCGTTAAAACAAATCATAATCCCCTTTCTTATAATCTCCTTTCATTATTTTCTTCAAAAGTTCATTTATTGCAAAATTTTACAATTAGTTAGCCTCATTCTTGGTGTCCACCACATTGTCCAAGGAAGTGAACTAGCCAAACTAATTTCACATGGGTGATGCTAAATTTAAAAATATCGATTAAGTAAAGAGCAGGCCAATCAATTTTTTATATTAGGCTTCGTTTGGGATATTAAATCAATTTTATTCATAATGTAAACATCAATAAAACATGGCTGCGAACCTAAGATATTAAATCAATTTTATTCATAATATTCATTCTGATATCTGGCCTTGAAAAAAAAAAAGACTAAAGGTGAGGAGAACCGATTTTATTCATAACAAACATTTTTATTTTGAAATGAATGCACGTAAATTTTAATCTTAAGATAAATCTGCCATCTTAATTAAATTTGAATTAGAATATTCTGATTCAACATTTTCCATTGCATGAGATGTTTTTATGTTGAAATAACAGATCACAGATCTAATCTGTACAGATGCAGCTAAGCTTACCTCTTAATTAGATGTAATCAGAACCCTTTGCATGTAAAAATCTACACTGTAGAAAGACAAACCACAGATTATTTTTTGTTGTAATTTGTTACAGATCCAAGTTATGATCACAAAAGCATATGATCCAGATACACTATGAAGTTAGGCTTTATTTGAGACCGTTTTCTTACTGTTTTTTAAGTAGCTTTTTACTACAAAAATTTTAAATTTTATACTAAAAAACTGTTTTAAGAAGAAGTAAGAATGTTGTTCCAAACAAGAGAAATTATTATGTGTGGAGACCGGACACAGAGACATGTCCGATTTGTCTATGTGAACAGTGAATTGCGCTTTTACTGTTCACATAGACAAAACCGAACGGTTCTCTGTGTCTAATCGGCACGTAATAATCTCTCCCATGGATTACATCGGGTTCCGCCCCTGGTGGGAAGGAAACCGGTGTGGCACTTGCGATAAGGTAGGTGAGTCATGTGCACATATTTCTTAGCGTGGTGGAGTAAAATTTAAGTACTAGTGAATGTGCATGAGTGCCTGCGGGAAAAAAAATTGCTTTTCCAAATAGGTACCCCTGAAGACCCATGCACGTCTTTCTTTGACATGGTGGGATTAAAGATTATAGCCATGGTGTCACTCGATATCGACCATATACATCTTTCTCTGAAGTGGTGGGCAGGTTAAGACTCCTGAAGTTTCCCTTAAATGGGGGAGACGCCAAGAGGATGTTAAAATTTAGACTAAAAACGAACAAGACATGAACAAATCCAGGGGACCAAAACTTAAACAAAATGTAGGGAACTGAATATGCAAATTGGGCCACATGGGATTTGACTTGAACAACGGTGAGGAATAGAACTTATAAAATAAACAACAAAGAATTGGAAAAAAATAATAATAATAATAAAAACAACACAGAATTGGACCCTAAACTTTAAAATTCACAATCAAATTGAAAATACAAATCCTAAAACAAGGTTCAAGTAATTTAATTGAAATCTAATGAATAATCAGAGGACTCATGATGGAAAAATTACAAAATGCCACTTGGTTGCAAGCAAACATCAACATGTAAGAATCGATTGAATTAAGGGGAATAAATAATCTAAGTACAAGCAATTCATCTCAATCAAGGGTGGCATACTCATGAGTAAGATATAAAGGATATGAAATGAATGCAACAATGTCCGGAGGTCAACATCGACATACAAGCAAATATATTCGACCCCACAATAAATGAAAGCTGACATACCAAATCAGCATGGAAGCTGGCATAATGAACACAAAGTCATTGTGCAACGAATATGGTAGCTTGCCAGCCAGCTTGCATAGAGAAATCAATGACAAATGTTACAACACCCTTGCAGTCAATAACAATTTAGTGTCCAGTAAATGCACTAATATATTATAAACAATGGAAGTGGACATGAAATGATTGCAAAGATACCTTCACGATTAATGTCAATCAAGCACCTAACAGAAGCACGAGTACTCTACAAGCCGAAGAGCTGGATATACAACATATGATGAATGCAAAGACACGCAGTGCAACTTACGACGAATGTAAACATCCAGTGACGGTTCATATAAGAGCAAGACTAAAGAACCTGTCATGCACACAATAGTTCACACAAAGGCGTTAACAGGCAACAAGCTACTAATACAATAACATTAGATAGTCAACATCAACTTATTAATGAACACACGTATTCTCCTATAAACAATAATATTTCCTACATACACCAACATGTAGTGATGATAGATGTGTTGCAAGTATGATAGATCTCTTGTGATATAAGATGCGCATATACCATATTATTTACAAGTGAGCACAACAAATCTATGATAAATATGAGCCCCTACTAGCCACTACAGGAGATTCATCGGTGCACGACAGTCTACATGCATTAAAGCAGCAAATCACCTATAGTTCTACGTTACGATTCATCTGTAAGAAAAAGTAGATA